ACTTGTAAAAATCGTAGGATTGCATGAGTTTGGCAACCTACTGTACATTAGAGATGCCGTTTTAAGAGCATTTTATAAAGTGATCAGTAAGGCAAATGGATCCGGAAAAGGACTGATTTGTCAGAAACTCAGTTACAGGCCCTATCCTTTATGTTATTTTAGGCTTTCAAGACAGAATCTTCTTTTGCAGAAGCCGGCAAGAAAGTCATGTTATTAATAAACTGAGTCATTAGACTAGGGATGTCGTTTGGACTGATCGAATCGTTCAGATACAACTGTTACTTCCACTGCGTGACTTTGCTGATTAATATGGATGCGAGCTTCAGCAATATCCTCTGCGATACTTAAGCTTGCCGTAAGTGGAACACGGAGACATTCGGCGTCTTGCCGTATTTTAACGATCGCAAACGACCACAGTGTCCGGCCTTCACAAGGCGTGTTTTCAACCTCCAACACTGAGTTTCCCCGGGAACAAACTACAGTTGCCCCCCCCCTTGTATTCACGGGGGTTAGGGAACAGAGCTACCCACAAAGAGCTGAAATGCGCGGATACTTGAAGGCCCTCTTAAAATGTTCATATTTGACTGTTATGATATTCAAATACCAAATATACTCAAAACCTCACCCTAAAGCACTTTACTGCTTTTTTAAAGTCATCTTAGAACAGTACCCTTAAAAATACATTGATTACAGCTACACATGGACACATCTAAAATTGTTATTCTTATCAAGGTGGAAACTATATATTAAGGAAAACGTATTTAAAATGAATACCTGATAAATAGCAGGAGCCTGTCTATGCGTGCCAGGCACGACCTGCCTTTGCTGTGTCCTCTGTGCCACACTCGCTCGCGTGAACTTTGAAGCATTCTTAACGGAACCTGGTACGCATAGACTTCACTGCCAGGTCGTATATATGGCATGTGCAAAGGAGCCGATTGGCTTTGTTGGCTACTGTTTAAACGACCGACTTCAATGCTCTCGGCTTTTTCTCATCGTCGAAACACGGCAGGTGCTGCGAAAATTTGTTGAATCATAAATAACTTTACGCGAAAATTACCACCGACTCCTATCTGGGAAAGCGGTAGACATTGCTAATTACTAAGGAGTTACTGTTAGATGCATGTGGGAATTTTAAGCGGGAAGAGAATACTTCTCCAGTGTCGGGTAACACCGTAGAGATAGACTGATTTTTATGACCTCATAAGCAGGTAAAATCGTTCAGCTTAATAAAAAGGGGTTTTTAGTTTGTGAATTATTTTGAACTGAGCCTGAAGTTGCGCTATCGTTTAGGCATTCAATGCATGGGAAACCCTACATCTGTCAATGTTATTAGGAGAATGCCATATAGGGCCCAGAATATTTCATAGTGGACTAGACAATCCCGTAGAATTCAAACGCAGTCCTCATAAACTGAAAGAAACGATGCCTCATTCACGAACTTTTCAGGATCCTAAAATTTCTCCTAAATATAAACTTTTTAAGTCGTAAGATACCCTTACTTTTAAAAATAAATTTACAGAAGACGTAATTAACTAAACAAACTATTCGGTTTGGTAGAAAAAATAATGCGCTTGTCAGGGGGGGGGTAATCGGGGTCAAAAATGTGATCAGTCTGCTCTGGTCTTGATCTAATTTGCGCAAAACGTTGGGGCTCCTAATTGGCTTTCCAGTTGCTCAGTCCATCAGATTGGTTTAGTTGATTTCATTTTTTAAACGCAAAAAAGACTACGAACAAAAACAAAGAGAAATGAAATGTGCATTTCTAGATTCCTAACCGTTATAAGTTAGCCCTATCCAATCTAGGTTTTATGAAATAGAGGCATTTGAACCCGAAATCTTTAGCAATTGCGCCGAATCTTTTACCTTTGGACTACGGGCCTATGGTTTTTGGCTGCCATCAGATATGTAAACTTTAGTAGAGTATGCTTCATAATCCTATCAGAGAATGTCACTTAACTATCTTATTTTAAATTTCAGCGTTTTTAAATTTGCGCATAAGCTGTCCATTTCACTTCGGCCTTTTTCCTCGAGATTTTATACGCCGTCAGGTTAAACGTTCGGGCACCTTTCTGGTCCGCCTGATCTCGGTGACGTGTGCAGATGTCAAACGATGAAGACGAGTCTAGAGTCTGACTATTATGCTTCGTTTGCTTTCGTCACAGTGTATCCACTGCAAGAGTGGGATATGGGGAGAGGACTATGGCGATGATGGCGCAACCTTACTCATCCATCTTATTAGCATAGACCGTGGCCTTCACAGCACCGCCACGACAAAGGACAAACGACACAGACCAGTTGTCCGAAGGCACGTGCAGTCACCCTATATGCAAATCACCCCAGGATGGTCAGGCAGACAGTTCTAGCGCCGAGCGACGGACGGACGTACGCATGCAGTCGCAATGACCAGCGCCGCGGATGAGAACACCTTTTCCCTCACCTATCTGGGTCGATTTACAGCCCACGATTTTGGCTACTCCAGCTCGGAAGCCATCCATGCCCAGCTGGTGGAGTACTATGTGGCCTTTCTCACTCGCGCTTACGAAAATCGTCTGCCTTTTGACAAGCTAAGCGTTCAGAACCCGATCGATACGCGGCTGGTCGCCCTCGAGTCGAATGGGGTGAGTGTACGCAGTTGGCGCTACCGCAGGTTCAATGAAGCTGGCACCCTGATCAATGAGAAGGACGTCTACAAAGCTGAGCGGATTGTCCTCTGTGATTGTCTGTGTTTTGAGGTTGTCCAGTCGGCGAACACGGGACGGGGTGGTGGTTCCTCCTCAGCTCGAGATTCCGCCGTCTGCTATGCCTACTTGAGGCGTGCTGTGGACTCCAGACAGACCATTTCCGAGGCAAATCTCAGACCCCTGGATGTTCGCTTGAGCACCTGGCTGTTAAAGTACCGTCGCTTTCAACGCCCTCCTCTGGTGGTTCTGGCGATTCATCGTGCCTACGCTGACAGCTGTATTGACCTTCTGGTCTTCCTGGCGTCTAGCCAATCAGAGGGTCTGAAATTTGTCAAAAAGGTCACTGAACTGGCCTGCAAGGTCACACCAATGCGACCACACCGGCGACATCGTCGACGTGCACGCACGGCAGATGCGAAGTACCCCGAGAACTCGAGAACCACGACTGACAGTTGGAGA